CTGACTGTAAGTATGACCAGAGCAAACGTGCTGACTGCCGTCTGGGCTGACCCTTCAGGAACTGAGTTAGGACTGTCCAGGCTGAATTACCTGTCCTGCTCTAGCTGCGCTCAAGAGCCCTGGCTGCGTAGAGCGAGAGCCAGACCTCCGTCCTCTGCTGCTCGGTCCCAGAGGGCCAGTAGCACCCTGCGTCCTGCTGGATGACACAGGAATGCTGGGGCCAAATCCTGCTGGGACACCTTTCCTGGCAGCACTCTCAAGTCGAGAGGTTTAACGAGTCCTTTTATGGCCCAAGAGACTTTCCCAGGCTCCAAAGTAGAGCCAGGAGGTTGTGCAGGTCGCCACAAGCAGGTCTTTTGCAATCCGGGTGCCTCTTGCTGTGGATTGCTCCCAGAACACAGCAATATTGTGCCCTCCTTTTCCTTCCAGTGCCCGAGATGAGCCAGAAAAAATGTGCTGTAGTCAAGGCCATGAGGTGCACGCTTGGTGATCAGAGCACTGAGGTGAGGTGCTTTGTGAGCAGTGGCTGTGCTGGGGATGGCACATGGACCTGACACACAATTCCCACCACAGATTCTTGGTTCTCTTGTAGAGAAAACCTTTTTTCCCTGTCAGCGTCTTCAGGGAAGGCAGTGCAGAGAGTCTGCCCCGCTGCTTCCAGAGCTGGGGAGAGTCAGGATCTGGGGAAATGTTATCAGCTTTGCCAGCGGGCAGGGGATCTGCTTTCCCTCCGATGCCAATATGGGACTACTGAGTAGCCAAGACACGCTGTTCTCTTGCCTCTTTATAAACCCTAGAAATAAAACTGGACCCTTCTCCTTCCCTGTCATCCTTTCCAAGGTTTGAGGGAGGGGTTGTGCCTGTCATATTGAATGTAATAGTTTGAATGTTTGTAATAGTTGCCCATTAGCCAGTTTAGGAAGAAGACACGATTTATCTTCTTATCTAGGCCATTCTTTTGGCCTACTTGCGGAAGGTCCTGACTTGGCTCAAAGTCTTAACTCTTGAATTTTATCTTTAGAGGCCTTTAACAAAGTTAATATAAAAATGACCCGTAAGCAAACATCCCACATTCTGAGAGATCAAACCCTAGGGCCTTTGACAAGATGGGCTGAAGTCAGACCTCCGTCCTCTGCTGCTCGGTCCCAGAGGGCCAGTAGCACCCTGCGTCCTGCTGGATGACACAGGAATGCTGGGGCCAAATCCTGCTGGGACACCTTTCCTGGCAGCACTCTCAAGTCGAGAGGTTTAACGAGTCCTTTTATGGCCCAAGAGACTTTCCCAGGCTCCAAAGTAGAGCCAGGAGGTTGTGCAGGTCGCCACAAGCAGGTCTTTTGCAATCCGGGTGCCTCTTGCTGTGGATTGCTCCCAGAACACAGCAATATTGTGCCCTCCTTTTCCTTCCAGTGCCCGAGATGAGCCAGAAAAAATGTGCTGTAGTCAAGGCCATGAGGTGCACGCTTGGTGATCAGAGCACTGAGGTGAGGTGCTTTGTGAGCAGTGGCTGTGCTGGGGATGGCACATGGACCTGACACAAAATTCCCACCCGAGATTCTTGGTTCTCTTGTAGAGAAAACCTTTCTTCCCTATCCGCGTCTTCAGGGAAGGCAGTGCAGAGAGCCTGCCCCTCTGCTTCCAGAGGTGGGGAGAGTCAGGATCTGGGGAAGTGTTATCAGTTTGCCAGCGGGCAGGGGATCTGCTTTCCCTCCGATGCCAATATGGGACTACTGAGTAGCCAAGACACGCTGTTCTCTTGCCTCTTTATAAACCCTAGAAATAAAACTGGACCCTTCTCCTTCCCTGTCATCCTTTCCAAGGTTTGAGGGAGGGTTTGTGCCATGGCCGGTCCCTGCCCCCATTAGGGCATAAGGGCCGTCCTGACTCCAATCTGTCCTCTCCTCCCCTCCAGGTGAAGAAGGCCGTCCTTCAATTTCTCAGGACACTGCTCAGTGTGCAGGGCCTGGATGAGTGGGCCTGGGACTTGTGGCCTATATTTTCAAGCAGTCCAGCTTGTCTAGTAGCCAAATGCTAAGAGAAAACGAAGCTGGAGACTTGGTGCTGCTGTTGTAGCAGGCTGAAGCCTGCCATTGGCTTGAGCAGGAGCGTGGTGTGCCTCAGAACTGCCAGGCTGAGTCATTAGAACCAGGGTCAGACCATTTGCACTGGTACAACCGATCCAAGGGAGCTCTCGGGATGTCAGTGCAGCTCCTCTGGATTTTCCCCAGGGTGTTAGCAAGACCAGACTCTGATCTGGACTATGTACATCTTCTGATGAGGCTGAGATTTGCCCCGTCAGACACTGAGGAGTGAAAACCCTGATCACACAGTCTGTCAGGGAAACTTCCTTGAGAACAGCAATGCTCTCTGGTGGAAATAGACTCCCGAGGACGTGTCTTGGTGCCCAGGACGTCGCTTGGCCCATTGCTAGAATCACAGTGACGAGACAATTTTGCTGGCTGGGCCCTGGAGCAGACGCAGCAGAGCGGGGGTGTGATGCCTGCACATTTGAGTCCGCTGGGCTGAGTCTGAAGGGTTCTCTTGGAAGGACGAGGGAGGTGAATA